TTTGGCTGGGGATGCCACCAATTTCCCATTTATATAGTCAACATACGCCACTTCAGCCGTTTACAGTTAGATTCACGCAAGGGCTATACCTCTGCATGACTTAAAGTGCTTGGGTATCTGGCGTAGTAACTAATAAATCATCAGTATTGTTTCTTTACAACATTAAATGTAATCAGGTTATCGGCATAAGTAGTATGCTACTTAGTAGTTCCAAGGCTATACGAGCACTAAATTTTGCACTTGGATTTGCAGATGCATACGTTCCAAGTCTACGTTGTATAACTTGGTGCCACGGACTTAAGAAGGCACTTGGGTTGGCTGCTTCGAATTGTGTGTATGTAAGTAAATCATCTGTACAGGCGGGAAATTGGTGGCATCCCCAGCCAAAAAGGGTGGCAGACGCAGGTGGGCTGCCGTCTCTGTCCGCATGAATAAAAGATTCTGCTCCACTATGTCAGTCACCCTGGAGTGAAGGGCTAAGGCTTAATTAAATACTGATACGCGTCCTAAGGAAGAATTCTTTTACTATTCTGCAATTACTGATCAAAGAAAATAATAAATTCTTTAATTGTTTGGCGACTAAACTGTACGTCAGAATTTTATTCACACTATAAACATTGCCAAGCATATATTGTAGCTGCTAAAAAACTAACTGGCGGGGATGGTATTAGATGAAGTTGCCTCGGCTAAAGACAAATCGGTCCTCGTCCTCACTACGAGTATCACAGTTAGTCTCTATCACCACCAAAAACAGGTAGATCACTATCGCAGTCAGGATGAAAAGCTTCATCCAAGGTTTAGTCATGAGAGTAGTGGGAGATACACTTACCCGTCTTCCGCCCCTAGGTACTTCCGAGACCCTTGTCTATCGAGAGTACTCATGCCAATCTATTGTGCAGGTGTAGAAGTTTGGGAAGACGGTGTACCTTAGCCCAGTGTGGAGTTCCGAGATTTGCTGCGACATGAATATGTCATACTGCTCGGGTTGTAGGATATTTGTGCCAATTAGCATGTGTGCTTCAGGTCACCAACGGTGAATATTTCCAAGGGAAAACACGCTGCAACCGGTTGTCCTGAGCTATCCCTGCCCTAAACGCAATTGGAGGAGGTGTGCAGAGTAGTCCCAAGCCCTTGCAACGTGAGTGCGGTTAATCGTTTTCTGAGAGGAATGTTTGAGAAATTGACTTGTACCCATATCGCGTATCTCAAGAATTTGGAACATTCAGTGTCGCCGCACCCGCCATCTTAGTGAGATGGATCCTTCGAGTCAGAGGTGATATAGAGTTTGAGGTATCCATACGAGTGGGAGCCGATATGGCAAAAGAACGGCTTCATCGCCATTATAGGTTAACAAGTTTTGAATGCCGAAGATCCCAGGATGAGCAGTCTAAAAGCCAATGGCCCCGTTCATAGGGATTGAGCTGTCTCGTCTGTTTCTCTGGCCGGTAGCCTGGACGCGTGCCCGCATCGTGGCTTAGTTCTTGTAAGCCATGTGTGACTAGGTCCTGCAGCTCGATATAAAGCACTGATATAGGTGGTTCCAGTGGACGGATCTCCAAGCTCTCGTATGTGTACCCGTGATCAGGTGGGAACTCGACTGTCACTCGGTCCTTGTTGTTAGGTAACGATTGTGGACCAACGCCACTTGCTGCTCGTGACAGATGCGGGCTCGTTACTAGGTCAAGCTCTCCCTTGCTCTGGTACTGTACGCCAGATTACGAAGACTGGGGATGATAACGGCACAGGTTGTCGGGTACGGAAAACCCTGTCTTTGCCTTGTAACTCCACAAGTGTGTCGCGAATGGTTCTTAGTCTTCCGAGTTCACTTGATATAGACGGCACTTTTAGGAATATCCTTCTCAACCGGGTTTCAGATGAAAAATAGGTTGTGCTTCTTCAGGAACTATAGCAGAGTTGGCATTGCGGAATATGTCCTTAAATTTGGAGCGCATGGCCCCTATTTAGGGGGCTCCTTCGCCGCGGAACGCGCGCGGAGGGTTTTTCCTCGTCGCCTCACTTTCCACCTCTTACGAAAGGGTGTGGTTTTTAGTCGTGGTCAGAGGTTTTTTATGCCTCCCTTTAGCCTTAAGACCTAGTCAGTGGCCGGCTACGACAGCACACTGCCTAGGCCTTAAGGCACCCCCCTTGGCCTCTCAAAAATGGAATGAACAATATTTGGGGCATGAGGTTGAGCAGGTTAGTCGAGTCCTGGTTTGAGGTGCCTTTGATTGCGCTATGCCGCGAATTGTACGCGTGCCGCCAGGCCTCGACTAATCGCTCATGCTCCCCCAATATATGCGTCCAAACCATTCTGCCAGACTTGTTGAGTGATTAAATCCACTTAAGGGTATTGTTGAATAATCTACGCCTTATCTCCCAAGGTACGGGTGCAACCGGTGTCTCCGCATATACTCTCTTCTGCTCAGGCTCACCTGATGTTATAATGTAGAATCTTAGGTATGTGCAGGATTTGTATGTAAATCGGGTCTCGACCTCAGGTCTAGAGTTAACCGTAAAGACTGCCATTCGAGCGTGCTTGCTTCGGGAGTTCCCCGTGCGCGGTCAAGTCTCAGAGGGATGCTCAGCCCGTATATGCTCATGCAGCTTGTTATTGGTCGGGAAGACCTTCTCGCATCCTCGGCATGGAACGCGTCGTTCTTATGTGCCAACTACGCCAAAGTTGGTCGCCTCCTGTGGTAAGATATCATCTTCTACTTTGGGGGGACCAAAATCTTCAAGGATTTGGTCAAAGGGGAATATTTCACCGTGATCAGAGTAGCCGTCTCGTGGATAATCCTAAGGATACCCCTCAAAGTCTTCTATCTAGAAGGCATCGGGATGCTCCCAGCCCTGGTCGGGGGAACTTTCGCCAGCTATGTTCCCGTGATATGCTTTTGGTAGAGGTTGATTGTACTGTGGCTAAGGACGTTACTGAACTGGTGTCTAAGATGGCATATAGCGCCAATTAGCGTTAGGTAGCTACTACCAGAGATTCCAGCCTCGATAACCATCCCTCTGACCGAAGTCCTGGGGCAAATTGTAGTATTAAGGTAAGGTATATTGCGGTAAGTAAAGTTAAGGAGGTCTCTGATTCCCCCGAGGCATCTAGTACTAATTTTGTCTTCCGCAGTTCTGATAGCCGCCTCTTCCTCGACCTCTGAAGAAGTTCTGATGACACAGGACACGGTTAGCAGGTAGGTATTAGGGAATGGCTAGGAGTAAAGAGATTTCTGTTGCTTGCCGTGATAGGCAGAGATCGGCGTTTGAGCTGGCGTCTAGTGTAGCGCTGGAGAAGGGAAAGCTCTGGCTTTAGCAGCAAAAATACTTTCCCAATCGTTCACTTAGGTAAGAAATGCTCCCAACGTGATAATCTCTGTAGGCTTGCTAAGCTGGCCTTGTATCTCAGGATCCAAAGCTTCAAAAGCCGCCAGCAGCTGATTCTTCATGGAGTAGTCGCATGACTTAGCGTCCCGTATCACTCTCTTGGTAAAAGGACGTAAGATTTTCCCGGCTTATAAGTCATACATGGTAAAAGAAAGCCCTTGCAGATTCCGCAAAGCATCGCCGTGGTTCTTTTAAATCGCTCTTAGAGTTCTTGACAGATAAGCTAAACGGTGCCCGTCCGCAAGGTAGTTTTTTCCAGATCTGTAAGTTCCGTAGTATGCCACGCGAACGCGGTCGCCTGCAAACAAGTCGTCCTGACTGTTTTAACCTTGTCCTCACCACAAGATGCTGCCAGGTGCTGTAATCTGTCCGTAAACGCCCATACGTCAGCATATATGATTTGCTTGCCGCGAGCGACTGAACCGGCACCCTCAGGGTCTTTCAGAGAAGGATTGAAATAGCCAACAGCCTCTGGCTTAAGGGTTTTGGGTCTATCACCAGCGGGCCCTGGAGAATCTCTGTGAATTTGGTTAATGCGCTGACAGCGGCTGGTTTTGAGATTGCGACCTTGGGGAAGCATCTTAGGGAGTATCAGGAGTGGCAGGGGAAGAAAACGGTGGAATGAAGTGACTCCAAAGTTCCTAAGCCTTCTGATAGTGTCGTCTAAGCTGTGTGGATCATCCAGAAATCTTGTGTTGAGAATAGGAGACGGGCTTTGGCCGACGTGGGGTTTCTGGTCGGGCAGGACTGCTCAACTGAGTAGTCGCTGGCACGGGCAGGTTACAGATGAATAAATGAGATTGCCTACCCTGGCTCATCCATCGCTACAATTGATAGCTAGCGATTGTTCAATTTTTTGACTCTTTCGCACTTCCCTGAGTGACGAGTCTTGATTGGACTCCCAGTACCCTTGGCATTATCATCACTACTACTAGATGAGATCTCCTGTTGTCGGTTTCCGCTTCGGGTTTTCTGATTTGCTTCTCCTTCTCTACAGCTGTTCAGTTCCCGCCGACGATCATCCAAAAGCTCAGCTCGTCGGCACGAAGACACACGGTTGCCGGTCGATTCACGCCAATTATTATCAATCCGCACTTATTCTTCCTCGACTAATTTGCTAATCACCCATCCCTCCGTGTCTTTACAGCGTAGCTTCCTCAGACGTCTACTATATTTCAATTTATCCCAACTACTCCCAATACAAAGCCAATGAGCGTTTGGCCGAGTGGTTAAGGCGCTGTGTTTAGGTCATCTGTACAAAGATACTTAAATCCCGCAGTGGGAAACCGCGCAGGTTCGAATCCTGCAGCGCTCAAGGATATCTTTTTTGCATTTTTGAGGTGGTGTGGGTGCTCGATGCGATTAAGTGGCAGGGATGAGGTTATATTGGGAGTGGAGATGACTATCAAGCAACGGCCACGCCCTTTTGAGCCTAGCTTTTATTCTTGCACGATCTCGACAGCTTCTTATCTTTCCGATCCTTTTTCATCCTCCTAATCCAGAGAAGTATCGATGATATTGTGTAATGCTTAGGTAATGAGGTATGAAACAAATGTGGTTATAGCTACTTAGGTATGTTCCGGTGGCCTCTTTATTTACTCATAGGAGCTTATCTTGTGCTTCCCTTTCTAGTCTACAAGCGTCTTTGAGGCACAATAACTACTACTGCATATACCTAGGTAATGGATAGTCAAATGAACTATTTTCAAGTCCGTTTTTTCCTCAGAGCTTTCAACTTGAAGTGAAACGGTGGGGTTGTTAATCACGGTATGGTATGTACTTGATGTATGTATATAGGTACCTAGGTAGGGCCCTCTATGCAGGTACTAATGCTAGCTTGAGGTACCTGCCCCTCTAGCCTCGATTTTCAGTTCCAATTCTACCTCAACATCAGACACTTACATACATATTTCCATGCTCTTCAGCGCCGTCCGATGAAGACGAGACCGCCCGGAAAGCTATCTAGCGGCCGGTTTGATCGAGTCCCACAATTGTATTAGACAACAGTTCTTCGACAGTAACGATGCCATTCGACGACGAAGACTTAACGCCTGTGTCGCTTGACGCTGTCAATGATGAAGCCCCTTCTGATGCTGAAGACGGCGACCGAGCCCAAGACTTTCGACTCTTTACTTCGCTTCTCACGGGCCCTGGGGGCAAGAAGAAATCTCAGGCTTCCAGCAAAGCCATACGGCGTGGCGAGAAAGACTTCGAGTCGCATGGCACACGCGCACAGGAGGGTGTCCTCGAGTCCAGTCGCTCAGCCATGCATGAAGTCTTGAGTTATACCCGCCAGAACCAACCTCGTAATGCTTTGCGCGGGTGGTACTTCCCCGACAGATGGGCGGATGTGGCACCGGAAAGCGAGTTACCGAGCGAAGTCGCAATAGAGAAACAACCAGGCGATCGGACAACGAAAGGTCGTGGCTCGGGCTGGGGCTTGTTTGCAAGAGAACGGATCGTTGCGCTCGAATCGGATGCAGGTACCATGCTATCGTCGATGGGTCGCGTCGTTACGAGCGCCGAGAAATCCAGTCCCGGGTGGCTGAAGACATGGCTATTGCCGGAAGAAGCTCTATTCCTAGTCGAAAGAGGGACGCTAGACTTATGGTGGCCAGTACGAGGAATCGAGGAGATTTTTCCTTCAGACGAAGATCCCGAGGCACCGCTGGTAAAGTCGAGGTCGCTCGAGGACTATGAGCTTGGTATCCCTCTGAGCTTACAAGCTGCATATGCTCTCTTCATTGGGCGAGATGGAGAAAGGGGGAAGATCAGTCTCGAAAAATACCAGGTTTACGCCAACCTCAGACGTTCAGGTTATAGAGTCTTACGAGCGACAACGTTAGCATTTCAGGCATCATTATCACGGGAACCCCGTTCGCTTTGGCAATGGCTCTTTTCACTTTTAAAGAATACGAGTAGCCCCTTTGCTGGAAATACTAGTCATCCGGGATACGGGCCACTCGTGAAACCAGGTCTATATCGCTCATATGTGCCTATCTTTGAGCAACTGGCTCTTGTACAGCGACACAAGCCCACTCCCCTTCCAGCATCAGAAGTACCTCAACCTCAAGACCCTTTTAAGATTCATTTCGATATATGGAAAAGCGCATCGACCTTTTCAAAAACAAAACCACCGCCCCCTGATTTTCAGATGGCTGTTGTGGATGCCCGCGATTCAAGCGTCCCGACGCTCGAGCAACTAGATACTTTGCTTCTATCTACGCCGTGGGATCCGCCAGAAGCAGATAATGGCAAGCCAGGGGCGGGATTCGTATACAAGCGCCTCAAACACGGATGGCGACATGCAATTATAGCGGTTGTTGACCGCGGGTTAATTAGCTATATGAGGTTCGGCGAGATGGCGTTCGGTGAGGAATTGCTATATCAGAGCACGAACACGCGGCTAAGACCGAAGAGAGGTGGACGGTCAGGGAGAGGTCGCGGAAGAGGGCGAGGAAGATGAGAATGGTGAATCTACTACGATACGACATATTGTTATGATGATGCTCTATCGACTTAGCCATCCTTTGTTAGACGAGCCTTAGGCGAAGTCGCATAGCGGATCGGCTATATTCCGCCCATCAATCAAGAAGGCAATACTGCAAGGATTGAGGAACTCATACTTCCAGTCACATATGAACAACCTGAAAAGATGTCTTCTTGGCATCCAGAGACGTGTCAACAGATAGCGAAGTCTGCTCTCAGTTAAACCGCGAACTTTATGTCCGAAAACCAACTTCGCTATATATGCTTTGACTTCTTGCCTCAACCTCGCAAGAAAATCGAAATCGTCGAATTGATAAACGATAGACCTTCAGGCCTTCAGCATCGGATGATTCACTTCCTCCTATAGTATAGCTGAAGTTCGTAATAGCATGAAACTAGGCTTTGTCCATCCGTCCTTCACCAACCTGACTAGATGTCGTCACCTTAGGTAATCTATAAGTACTTTTACGTCAATAAGTCCATACGAGTTTCAAGGGACAGTTTTGATTTCATTCACTATCGAAATTCTAATTATGCAGAGTTGCTAATCATCGGATTTTATCAGTCAAAACACTAGACTATAAACAGCATTATTGACTTTCAGACCCCCTGATATTTTCGTCATACTCGTTTCTTTCTTCTTATCTTGAGCCTCGTCTCTCTGGAATTTGATTAGAGGAATCTTAGTCAGGATTGCAGGGGTTTCTCTAAGAAAGAAAGCAACGTGAACCTATTACCTTATCTAAACGCTCAGCCCCGATATCGTACCCTATATTCACGAGGCACCCCGGTAACCAGCCTTTCAGGACTCGTATTCGTGGTAACCTACAGCAGGATATTCCCGCTGACACAGCAGCTCACATGGGGTATATCAATTCGATACCATAGGTGAGCGTTCAGCTGACGATTACGATGCGAGAAGCCGTTCTTCGCGGAACTCGGCTAGGACTTCCAATTCATTATTCATATACCGAACGCTTGGCTTAGCTTTACCATCGGCAAGGCTTGCCAAGCATCAGTCCATCTTCCCAGCATAGAACTTATGAATCGCTTACTCATGTTACCAACGAACTGCGGCATGGCTTAGTACATCAGGTACGTAGAGATATTGAGTTCTGTCAATGAATTTTGCCTCTAGATGAGTTTAACGATACTGCTAAGCGTTAAACTTTGAGACCTTCTCTTACAACCCGAGGGTCAAACTTTCTTGTACATACAGGACATCTACACCGTCATCTGAGCTTCACTGCGCGCAGCTAGCCCAATAGCTTTCGTAGATGGGAGATACATGTGACTGCACTACGAACCAGTGATGTCTAACATCAGGCTCGGAATCAAGTACTGAAACACAATCAGGATCCCACATTATGCGGGGATATCGTAGCTGGAAGGGCTCTTATTGAGCAGCGACTGTGATACGTAGTACTCATACTCATAGCCCAGTAAAATTACGAAATCATCACCATCAAGCGGGGATAGCTCGGCTTAAAAGAGAGAGTATGGCGGGGTATGCCTAATGCCTCGCAGTTGTGCAGTTTGGTGTAAGTTCAGTCCGAGTTGGAATTTCGAATGTCAATAGACTGAAGCTAACTTCATTTATCAATCCGAAGATTAGGTATACATTTGATCTATATTCGTTCAGTATTTCTTACCTTTGCAATTTCTGTATATAGACTTTGCCGGCGCCGTGATGGACTTCTACGACCCCACCTCGTTCTCAGCTCAAGATCTGTGTGCGCATATCTAATTAAATAAACCATGCATATACCGAAAAGTAATGACTGTAGCTGATATTTAGATTTACGTCGGACTGTTTGCTGTGCAAGGGTATCATTGACTTGATGCTGTCAGCTCCGTAATGCTACTCTGGAACGCCGCTCATTCGAGGAAGCTCGTAGTATCGCCTATGCACCACTGGGTGTGTATCAGATAGGAGAAAATATAGAAAGCTCCCTTGCTGTTTAAGGGGCATATTGGATTCACTGATACATCGTTGTATGAAATGATGGCGTCTGGCCCCCTCCGTTGGGTGTGAAGAAGAGGCTTTGCGAGGCATGAGATTACTACATTCTTGCAAAGAGAGTTCGAGTGCTAAAAAGTTTATAGTTTCGTCATCTCAATACAATGTTGGATATACGTCTACTCCTCGTTTGCCAACTTTATTTGCTGAACCTTGCACATCTGCAAACGATTGCGAGCCTTTTTTCTAATTCCAATCTACATGTTCAAACTCTCATTCCGCGAATCCATGAACCCTAATAACAGATGATGCGTACTATCGTCACCTTTCCTTTTTTTCTCTCGCTTTTGAACCTTGGACATCAGGCAGGACGTGAAATTGAATGCGCATTCACAGCCGACGCCAGTCGAAGCGTCATTGACGAGTATTATTCTATTTTTGCCTCTCTGTTTCTTTCGTTGGTCGTTACACGGACGTCGTATCACAATATCAATCAAAAGTAATCTCGCCGCGTGTTTGCAGCAGTCTGTCGTACCGCCGAAGAAAACGATCAGCTAGTTACTGATGGGAGATGTTCCGGGCGGAATGAACAGAGCCCGATGTAGTACAGTGGTGCGACTTTTCAGATAAGAGCTCATTCACCGGTTTCCCCAACTGCCTTGACTGGCAAGGAGGTAAAGGACGCGTGATATTGGAATTATCAGTATAAAAGACAAAGTAGTTCGGCAATGAAGTATGAACGAGGAGGGAAATTCGATCACATGATTTTCATTGGTATTTTAGTGGAGGCCTAGAATCTTTTTCTTTTTCCACATGTTGTTTTAATGTCATCATCTCTGTCTCCACTTAGACGCAGCGAACCAGAA